ATGCTTTGTAATGTCCAATGTTTTATTGATGAAAGTTAAAGAAAAAAAAAGAGTGGCGTATAGGGTACACAGAAGTAAGAAAATAGAAGAAGAATAAATCAACACTGTTAGGTATTGTGTTTGAAACGGCCATCATGACTCATTTGACGCGCGCTATGCCGTAAATAACGGTCAAAAATAGTCCGTTGGCTTCCTATTCAGAAGTCCCATCCCTTTCTTGGTTAAACTATCTTCAGTACAGACTTACTGCACAAGGGAAAGCAACAACGAAAAACAAAGAGAATGAATCAAAAAGTGGAACAAATATCTTGATGCAAATACACAAATAAAAAAATAAAATCATACACATATACACCGCGCTCTCAACAGATCGCGAATTAAGGAGAAAAATTAAACAGATGTGTGCTGAGCAAACCTAGAAAGCCTAAAGCAGTTTGTCTGTAATACACTTTAACATGGCTTTCGTCTCTGGATGATGGCAAGACTCTTCTCCAATGAACGATAGCATTCCTAAGCTAAGCACCGCAGCTACCTTGGTTCTCTTCGCATACCATTCATAGCTCAATGATCCCTCCCTCGTATGAGGGCCATTAGAGAGTGGGATTGCGGCAGAAAATGAGTGCCAGAAACGTTCCTCGTCCGTTTTAAAAGCTGCATGACACCCGCGATTCGGCTTACTATTCAGAGAGTCGTTAGGGTCAAAACAGTGAAGACGGGATTGAAGAAGTACGTTTCCCGACGCAATTACAGCTCCTAAATTTTCCATACGTTCCGCATAATAACAAGTGGTATCGACAAACTCCGCCATATTCTTAATAGCAAATGGAACATTAACGGGATTCCATTCCAGTGCTACTGCTTCCGGCCAGTGCTTCACATAAGGCATCAAACAGTTAAACTTCGTTAGCATTGCCTCCTCCACAACATTTTTTACACCTGGAGGTTTGTACTGTCCAGTTCTATATAGCTCGCTGTTCTTGGCGACAGACTCAAGAGTGGCAGCTTTGTTAAAACACTCCTCTAGTCGTCGATGGGTAACATTGTTACTGTTGACAACAATGTGTTCAACTAAGGCTATTGGAAAACCCCTGGGAAACATACGGGCAAAATCAGCATCGCCCAGAGTCCCCACATCTCTGGAGAATTCGTTTTCCTTGGTTGCCTCAAGCGCGTAAGAAACTAAACCAGCGTCTCTGAATCCATACTTCGGCACCAACTTGGCGGCCTCCTCAAGGACCTTCTTCCGCAACGAGGAAAGCTGCGCGTATTGCATCTGACTTGACTTTCCAAAAAAAAAA